CATTTTATTTCACCTCTATTCCTAATGGTTCAGTTAATACACAGTGCTCACCAAGTAGCTATATTCTTTGAACCATAATTGAAAGATTTTTTTTTTCTAACAGGCTATATGAGTAGGTAAATTTTACTCAGAAATGCTTGTAGGAAACTCTAAGGATGGCAAAGAGGCAAGTATGGCTCAATGTTTTCTAAATGGAAGATATCCTATTCCTATAGCCATTATTTGCCTACTTAATTGTGTCCAAAATATCTTTAATGGTATATAAAACTTTCCATTCCAGAATTAGAAAGATTCCCATCTTGGATAGCTAATGTAGCTATTTTTTTAAGTAATTGAAGTCAGGATATTTCCTGAGTGTGGGTCTAAATAAGGGTATACTAGGAAAACATACTTCACTTGAATGAGAGGATCATGAATTCTCAAGTATATGGAAGGTATGGTGATGGATTGTAGACAAAAATGTGCCTGCAACTTCCTGCCTACCACAGGATGCTGGTGATATCTCTGAGGAAGCTAAAATGCACAACTATGGAAAAACCACCTAAAGAATGTGGCCTCTCAAAGCACCAACCCAGACCTAAAAAACATGAGCATGAGTGGCAATGGTGATGATTGAAGAGGAAGTGGTATGTTAGCAGAGCCTGATGAATATAAACATTGGGGATGTCGCCTTCTCTTATTCTCTAATACAAATCTGTATTTCTTTCTTTGTTATTGAATATGTTATTTTTCTGAATATTTGCTGCCAACATCTCAAAATAAGTCATTCATTGGTTACCTCGAAGGCTTAAGAAATGTTGGTTGCTAATGAGCTTGCCTTTTTCTAAGTATATATTGATGAAGAAGGTAGAGTAGTGACTCAAGGAGTAAAGATGCAAGAGCCAAGAAAATAGTTCCTGTAAGTGGTGCTTTGAAATACTTGGGTTTACCTACATAATGAATATATAATGCATCTAATAAGATGTGAGCTCCATGTTACCAACAGGCCAAAGTAGGCAGAATTTCCTCTTTTCAAATGCTTCTTAAACTACATACTTATTTTGTGAAATCCTTTTTCCTTCAAAGCCATAATTCATATTCATTGAAAAAATAATCTATAATAATAAAAGCATAATATGCTAATTAGACCGGACATCCTTCCAGACAACCTTCCAGACGAAGCTGCAGTGATGGGAGTCAAGCCACTTGCATTAATTTCTTGCATCAGGCCTCTAGTTTAATCTATCAATAGGGTGTATATGATTTATTCTGGACCTGATAACCTAGAGACATGTTCCTTTTTCTTTATGGGGTTTTAAAATTCCTCAGTAGAAGCCTGTTTTTGGTTTGGTGTCACCAAGGAGCAGAACTTGAGACAAGTATTTTATTTGGAAATTGATCTGTAGGAACATTTTAGGGGATAGGGAAGTGAGACAAGGAAGGCAGGAAGCCATTAACAGTCCATTAATAAGGTACTAACTGCTTCCAAAAATTGAAGCTTAGTTGCACTAAGGACATCTGCCTTGCCCATCTTTGGTTGAGAGCTGCTTCTTGTGGTATAACTCTCATGGGTAGTTTGGTCTGCCCACCACAGAGACTGTGCTAGCTCCAATCAAACCCCTCTTGAAGAGACTAGCAAATGTTTTCAGTAAGCAGCCTTTGGCATTTTGAGGTGAGTGCCAAGGGTAAGTGATAGGGCAATAACAGCATTAATTAAGGGGCCAAATCCAAAATGAGTTGAGAGCACAAAAACTCCCATTTCCTACCCAGAACAATCTAGATGCCATGACAAATCTTTGAAAGCCTGCTTTCTGCAAGGGAATTCAATGTGCCGGTAGGGTTTCTTTGTGGCAAATATCACACAGAATGGAAATGAAGGCTGGTTACAATCTTGCACAAAATATATTGGCATTTCTATGCTGTACAACAGACACATACCCATTTAGGAAATTTACTGCTTGTTAAGTTTCCCCCTGACATCTCAGAGACTCACTGGGAATTTCCTAAGCTACATGCTTAGTGCACAGTATAAGGTTGTTATTCTGTATCATGGTCCACTGCTTAACTCAATCTGCCAATAGCCAGAAGGATGATTTTCTCCCTCACTGGTTCTCTCAGATGAAAAAATTTCTAAACATTATTGTTATTGTCTTTGTAAGTTGATTTTCCATCAGGGTTGGAACTTTGGGGAAAGTAGATTTTAGCTTTTTTCCCCCCAAGAAGTGAATCTCAGTAGTGATATTAGAAAGTTCAGATCCAATAAAACACTGTGTTCTTATTAATGGAAATTAGGAATATAACAAATGTGTAAATATAATTTCTCTTCAATTTGAATACTTGTGTGTCTTTTTAATTCACATTCATTTTTAAAACAGGTTCACTAATATTTTGGCTACTAAAAACATGAATTTTATTGTACTATTGTTTTATAAACAGAGAACAGTTAAGTGTGTTATGACAAAAACACTAGCTCTTATGATTTGTAAATCTTATGTAAATTGATCCTTGGAAACATATTTAAGGGATTGGGAAATTGATACTAGAGATAATTTTGCTCATTTATATTAATTTTGAAATTTTTGAATTGCATCCTTCAGCATGGTCTATGAAAATGAATCAGATTTAATAATCTCTTAACAGTCTTTTTCCCATAAAAATTTTATATTTTCTAGAGTCACAGTTCTGAGGTACATATTCTTAATGTGTTTATGAATTGTCCTGCTTGTCACCCGTGTTAAATGAAATCAATCAGTATGTTAGCTGTAATTTAGTTTGTAGATACTATTTATCAAGGTGATAATTGATAAAGTTTGCCTCTATTTCTAGTTTTCTAAGACTTTTTCACCTAAATGGGCGTTGAATTTTATAACATTCTGTCCGCATCACAAAAATCATGTGATGATTTTTCTTCTTTTTCTTACTAGCATGGTGGTTTCTATTGATTGCTTTTTTAAATTTTTATTTTATTGTTTAAAGTATTACAAATAGTAGTACCTATGTCTCCTTTTTTTCCCCATTGACCTTTCCCCGGTCTCCCCTATCCCCCAGCACATGCCCTAACCCTCCCCCCCCTCCAGTGTCTTGTGTCCTTTGGTTATACTTATATGCATACATACAAGTCCTTTGGTTAATTTCTTACCCCCACAACACTCCCAGCCTTCCCGCTGTTCTTTGACAGTCTGTTCGATGCTTCTCTGCCTCCATATCTATCTTTTTGTTCATCAAGTTATAATGTTCTTTATTTTCCATAAATGAGTGAGATCATGTGGTATTTTTCTTTCACTGCCTGGCTTATTTCACTTAGCATAATGGTCTTCAGTTCCATCCATGCTGCTGCAAATGGTAAGAATTCCTTATTTTTATAGCAGCATAGTATTCCATTGTGTAGATGTACCACAGTTTTCTAATCTGTTCATCTGCTGATGGGCACTTAGACTGATTCCAAATCTTAGCTATTGTAAATTGAGCTACTATGAACATAGGGGTGCATATAACCTTTCTGGTTGGTGTTTCTGTTTTCTTGGGATATATTCCTAGAAGTGGTATTACTGGGTCAAATAGAAGTTCCAATTTTTAAATTTTTGAGGAAATGCCATACTGTTTTCCACAGTGGCTGCACCAGTCTGCATTCCCACCAGCAGTGAAAGAGGGCTCCTTTTTCCCGCATCCTCTCCAGCACTTGTCATTTGTTGATTTGTCGATGATAGCCATTCTGATAGGTGTGAGGTGGTACCTCATTGTTGTTTTGATTTGCATCTCTTGGAGGATTAGTGACTTTGAGCATGTTTTCATGTGTCTCTTGGCTTTCTGAGTGTCCTCTTTCGAAAAGTGTCTATTTAGGTCCTTTGCCCATTTTTTGATTGGATTGTTTATCTTCCTTTTGTTGAGTTGTATGAGTTGCCTGTAAATGTTGGAGATTAGACCCTTATCAGATATAACATTGGCAAATATGTTCTCACATGCAGTGGGCTTTCTTGTTGTTTTGTTGATGGTTTCTTTTGCCTAGCAGAAGCTTTTTATTTTGATGTAGTCCCATTTGTTTATTTTCTCCTTAGTCTCTCTTGCCCTAGGATCTGTGTCTATAAAGATATTGCTACAACATATGTCTGCAATTTTGCTGCCTATGGATTGATCGCTTTTTGTATATTTATATAGCTTTGCATTCCAGAAATGCTATAAAGTTCTTGTTTATATATTTCCAAATTGTTGTTTATTAATAGTTTGTTACTAATATTTTTCATCTATATTCATGATCGCTGCTGGTCTCTATTTTTCCTTTTTTGTACTTTCTTCATTTGTTTTTTATATTATGGTAATAGTGGCTTAAAATGAGTTTAAGGTGTTATCAAATTTTTAAAATCTGGTAGTGATAGGGTAGAATTGGTGTTAATTCTTCTTTAAACATTTGGTTGCATTCTTCAGTGAAACCACCTGGATCTGCTCTCAGCTCTCTCATCTCTGTTCTGAATTCCTGTCCCTGACAGAGTCTCCATCTCAACCAGACAGCTTCCTTGTTACCCTCAAACATGCTGGGCAAGCTCCTGACTGAGGGCCTTTGCTTTTGCTGTTTGCTTTTCCTGAAATGCTCCTCTGCCAGTTTCCAGCCTGGCTCCTCATTGAGTTCCTGCAAGTCCTTCCTCAGAAGTTCCTTCTCAGTGAGGCCTTCCCTGGCCATGCAAACTAAAAGTCAGCTCTCCATACTGACACTTCATACCTCCCTCTTTTATTTCCTTCTCTGTAGTGCTTATCACTACCTAATACTCTACATGTATTATTTTGACATCTTATTTGTGTGTCTCCCCACTAGTATATAAGCACCATAATTTTTATTTGTTTCGTTTTCTGCTGTATTCCCAGTGTTTAGAAGAGTGCCTGTAACAGAGTTGGCAATCAATACACATTTGTGGGAGGAATGGAAGAAATGAAATAGTCCATAATAGGACCAGCTGGATTTATTAAGCTCTCACTGGGGGCCTGGAACAGTGCTAAGCACTTTTCATGCTATTGTGTCCTGAGTTCTCATGTCAACTCGTGAGCTGCAGGTAACAGGTGAGGAAACGGAGGTTCAGAGAAGTCAGGTAAATTGTCCATGGTCCTACAGATGATCAGTGCTGGGCCAAGATAACATTCAAGGCTCCACAGCTCCACCAATGCTAACTCACTAAATCAAAAGTTTGTCCCACCTTACTCTTCTCATGGTCCTCAGCTTTACCAGGGGGTTAAGGCTATGAAGAATTGGCCGTTGGTTGTGATTCTTTTACAAGGGCATTCGAGTGATTGAAGACACATTTCCAGTATGGATTTTATTTGGTGCTGCATCTCAGGGAAGTAAAAACAAAAACAAAAACAAAACCCCTCTCAGTTACCATGGTAATGGAGAGCATCTGCTCACAAACTTATTTCCTGTAGAGTGATAATCCCTTCTTCCTAGTTTTACCTGGGAACAAATCTAGTAACTTGCTATGATGTAGCTGTCGCCAGTGCTGATGTTTCTATTTAGAACTACATCTGATATTTTCTTTACTCCTTTTCACTTTAAAAGTTAGTCACATTATAGAAAATTTAGAAGAAAAAATTTATTATCATCTGCATTTTAGAGACAAGAAAACCAAAGCACTGATAATAGACATAATTTCATAATTGTTAGAATTAAGTGATATAATGAATAAAAGTTCTCCACACTATAGCTGGCAAATACTGTGTATACTCAGGATGAACACTGAGCCCTTAGGAAAGTGTAAGATGAAAATCTTAATTGCCTTCTGTCACTACTCACCATTTTTTTCTTTTGCATTTACGGACTATTTGGCCCATTTCTGTCTTTCCTAGTTCTTCTTAACATAAAGACCCTTATTTTCTGCTGAGTCTTTGGCCCATTTTCTGTTTCTCAGTCTCTGTAATCATTACTTGTATTTTGCCCTCAGTACCACTACACATGTGTATAAAACTTTGATGTGAATGAATTTTACCTTCAATTATACCAAATGTCTTTATTGAACACATTGTAAGTTGCCACACACTGTTCCTGGAAACGGGTATCTTTGAGGAGGTCAGCCAAGATTCCTCCATTTTTGAAGCTTAAATCTAGTAGGTACTCATAGTCCTCAGTGCTCACATACTTCCTGTTCTGGTCCTGCCCCAGTTTATTGGCAATCTTCTGTGTTTATTCCATCATCCTTGGATTTTTCTTTATCATCTTAATCTGAGGATTTAACCCAAACCAACACGTTTAAGAGCAATGCCATTTAATGAACATTTCATCCAGCAATCATTTATTGGGTGCCTGCTTAATGGTAAGCTCTATTTTATCTCCTCTATGTACCATATATTCATTCTCAAAAAGCCTTGTAGAAAATAATACTTTAACCCAAAGTATTGGGTTGAAAAATTAAGGCAGGCTGGTAAAATAAATATTTAGGTTGGGTGGTGAGGCAGAAGGTAAACTTTTAAAAATAATTTTTAAGCCTTACTGATAAACATTACTGTATTCCACACTGGATGTTTTGAACTGATAAATGTTATGACTGTGATTAAATTCATTCAGCAGAAGAAAAGGAAACGATCATTTCCAAAGTCAAAGAGGGTCATGCCATTCCAAAACAAATAGGAGATCCAAAACATTCAAATGGCATTTATTTAAACTGAAATGTGTGTCCAGTGTACAACAAAAGGGAGTTATTGCCTGTGGGCTTATTAATTCTGTTTGAGGTATTAATTTAAGATATTAACTTGTTACTAGTTAGGTATCCATGTTGGAAATGTCTCCCCTGCATAGTAATGGTGGCATATAACATTGCAGGCTAAATTAATCCGATTGTCATTGGGGGTTCTAAAATCTACCATACATTAAAGACTCTATCTGAGCTTCCATCCTCATAGAAGAGCTAATGAACCAGAAGCTTTTCTAATAACAGTGAGTACCACATAAATGCAGTGTTCACTCCATAAGTTCCACTGTTAATAGGATAAAATCACTCTGGGCAAATAAAACTAACAGCACTTTCTTCTAATTGATGTTCAAGCGCCACCTACTTCTTCTGTGAGATAAGACTACAATAAATTAGTGTTGTGTTAAGTTTGTGTGTGATGCTCTGCTGAAACTAAGAGATTTGTTCAGACTTTCAGAATTTGTCCTTGCCAGTTACCCTCTATTAAGTTTCTATTGTTAACATAAACACCATTGAAACCTGTAAAGAATTTTTGTGAGTTTATTTGAGCCAAACTGTTGACATATGCCAGGAAGCAGAACCTCAAGGAATTGAGATAATGCTCTGGAGAATGGCAGGGTTACATTTGTATTTATACATTTGCAATCAAAGGAGGGACGTAGGTGGGTTACATGAAATTCATTGGTGATAGATTAAGGAGGAGGGATAAAGCAAAGCAGGGGAAACCCCTGGGATTGGATAAAAAGTAAAATGATGGACACA